GGGGGTAGCAAACAGGAAACTCTTTTGAGAATCATTTGACACAAGAAAAAAGAAAAACACAGTCATGTTGAATTTTCTGCTTTAACAAGAGACCCCAAGCTTTAGGAGGACTCAAATATACTTTAGTTTGACTTCAAGCTGTGTGTGTGCTTTTTTAGTGGTTTAATCTGATGTAATCTCGTGGGGTTTTTTTTCTGTACAGAGGAGCCTGACGTCCGCACCAGAAAGATTGTGAAGGTGGTGACTCAGACGATGGTCAACGGAAAAGTCGTGGATGAATCCAGCGAGGTGGAGCAAATCGAGGAATCAAAGAAATAGAAAAAGAGGGAGAGAGAGGGTGGAAATGTGAAAGGTTGATGTTTAATAGGTTTTAATAGCAAAAACACACGAAAAAATATAGTTTTGATAGCCTGGAAACTAAAAGTGACAATGTAGGATTGACTTGCAGTTTTACTAAAGAAAAAAAATTATTGGATTTCTTTACAATAAAGGTTCTGTTTCGTAAAACTGTTGGTTTATCAGTAACACTGGATAAATATAGAAAACTTTGACTAAACCTGCTTGTGTTTGAATAGTTAGAGGTTTGTGTGAGAGCAACTGACTAACAAATAGTTTTGGTTTAGCCTACCTATAAAAGTCTGAGGAGTTGGTATTTATTTAATGTGTGGAAATAGACTAATAAATATACTTGTTTTACTAGAATAACTTTTATTAACGTTGGTGTTTTTTGACCGTACTAAATAAAAATAATAAAATCACTTCATAAACAAGGCTGTGTTTATGTTGAACTGTTTCATATGATGTGTTCGGACAGAGGAAACGTTTGAATTTTGAGTTAAAACAGATTTTAAACGACATGAAAACAAGACTCAAAGATGATGTCATCAAGAAGTCTGAATCTCAGGCACAAAACATGCTTCTCTGTGGACTCTGTAAAAATAAGTATAAAAACTGTTAAATTAACACTTGGTGTTGATATGACACTGCCATATTTACTGTCTGCTTTTATTTCAGAGGCTTACTTTATTTTAAGTTAGCTGGTTCTAAGAAATAAAAATACTTCAGCCAACAGAGCACTCAATTATAGAAGGGCCACTGGGAAAAAAAACAAAACAAAACAATTTCCTCAGTAATTCTGATATTAAAATCAGAACTATTGTTTTTTCAGTTTTAGTCTATAATCCACTTTTTTCCTCAGGATTACGCAAAAGTTAAAATTCTTATTTTTTCAATGGCCCTAATCCTCTTTCGTACTAACTAGGCCAAAAAAATATGGGATTATTTTTAATTGGTTAAGGTAGAATAAAAAAAGCATCTTGTAGATTTAAATTATGAGTTAAAATAAAGTTTCACTAAATAATTTCTAATTACTTTACTTTTTAGATTTAGTTTTTATAACAAAACTCCGAAGATGTAGCTGCACTGCCCCCTGGTGGCTCATAAATGTCTTGTCCGAATCACATACATAAATAAATAAATAAATAAATAAATAAATAAATAAATAAATAAATAAATAGGATTCTGACTTCAGAAAAGCATAGATTAACATATGTAGCATTAAATAAATACAAATGACATAGAACTGTTTGAGGTGTTTCCGATTGGTGGAGTTCAAATTGTTCATCTCTTCAATCCAAAAATGAGAAACCTCTTAATTGATCCCCAACCCTGGAGAGTTTGTTATAATACGACTCAGTGGTCCTGAGCCTCAGACCACCGTAAGCTCATTACTGCAGAGATTAAACTGTTGAGTTTGGCTTCATTTTCTTGACCTGAGCCAGATTTACCCTCTTATGTGGCCAAAGTGCAGCATGAATAAACTGCTGATGTTATTCATGTTCCTGTGATTTAATGCAATGAGTTGACGTTTTTCTGAGCTGTAGATGATTTAAATAATAAGTGAGTTTAATGTTTAAAAACTAGCTGATTGTTTCTAGTTGATTTTTTCCCCCCAGSAGAGGCAGTATAAAGATTTCAAAGAGATTGCTACATTAAAATTCTTGTTTTAACAACTTGTAATGTTTTTAAAGGTTTATTGTGAGATGACTATTTATTGAAGCAGGTTTAAAGAGTGAAAAATCAAATAAAAACAGAAAAAAGGCATGTATTTGTTAAAAAAATCTTTATTTTTAACTTTACATTCACTCAAAACTTCACTCCAAAGTAACACAACAGATTAAACATGAACAAATGAGGATGAAGAGAGGAAAACAAGAAAAGGTGGATTTTAAATTCTTCATTTTTGTTTTATTTTCCTGTCACTCTCACAGATTAATAATCTCTCCCGCTTGCACTCTGTGACTCTCCTTGCTGTTGAACCCACGACTCGCTGGCACACGTCCCTCTGCTCAGCAGGCCCCTGACTGCAGGACGGGCTGAAACTGTCCGGCCATGCAGATCTCTTCCTGTTTATGGCGGACCACGCGCTGGATTGCAGGAGGGAGGCCCCGGGGGTTCCTAGAGAACACCAGGGCGTAGCCGTCCTCGCAGCTGCCGTCATCCTTCAGGGTGCGGCAGGCRTAGGTGATGGCGTAGTTGTCGTAGTCGGTGTCAATCACCCAGTAGTTGTCCCCTGGTTGGAGAGACGGGAGGAGCAGGAAGTGAAGCACGGCCGTGAGGATGAAGACGTGTGTGTGTGTGTGTGTGTGTGTGTGTGTGTGTGTGTGTGTGTGTGTATGTTGAACGTACCTCCACTGGAGAGGTAGCTGGCCAGACCCTGGTAGTTCATGAACATCTTTCCAGGCGTGGTGGGGTCAGGGACGGAGTACTGAGCAGCCATGTCTGCACACACCACCCAGAAGCTGCAAAACAATGGAGCAAAAACACAAGCTGACAAACTGCAACATGTGAAAAAAAAGCCAATCTTAAGTAATTTTCTTAAATTATTACAGCTTAGCTTTAGTTTATAATCCACAAAAATTCAGAACTCAAACCCTCATTGTTACTTAATGAGACTTTCTATTCTCTAATCTTTTCTTAATCCAGGGGAAACGAATGCTGCTCAGAATGTTCTTTTAGTGGAACAAAAACCGAACCATCAGAAAGATCCTCAGTTCTTTTGCTTCAGATCAGCATCAAATCAAATTAAGTGTTTAAAACGACTGAAGATTCAGTTTCTCTCACCCAAACAGAGTGACCCGTCCCTTGGAGGAGGCTGTCATGGAGCCGTCATCGTCGATGGTGTACTCAGCTGAGATGTTGTCCTGCAGGAACAGTCCCTCCGGGTCTTTCTTCTGCAGTGCGTACCACTTCCCCGCATACTGCAGAGAGAGAGAGAGAGAGAGAGAAAAACAATCAGAAAGGATTTCAGTCTTTTAAAATGCAGACATCAGCGGCGTGTTTCACTCACCCTCTTGGGGTCGAAGTCTTGTTTGACCGAGAAGCTGTCGACGATGCAGGAGGCCGACAGACTGAGCTCCACACAGGAGACAAAGACCAGCAGCAGGGCCAGCTTAAAGGATCCCATTCTGGAAGAGTCTGATATTTATAGGTGTACGTTTAATCATCTGAAACCAAAACCTGAGTTCTTCCAAACTAGTTCACAATCATTGAATAGTTTATTTATATGACTGTCAGAAAACCTGATTATCACCAGAGGACCACAATAAAGTTCCATAAGAGACAAGGTTTCTWATCTGAACTGCTCTAACTGACAGATCAGCAGCAAATAATCTGTTGCTACAATAAATAGTTGGACAAAAACCTGCAGATTATTCAGTAAAGATTCAACATCTTACCTGTTTAGGGTTAGTGCAGCAGCAGTGGTTAAAGTCAAAGTTCTGGTTGTGTTTCTCCACCAGATTGGGTCGTGTTCAGGAGGCTGCCTTTATATACGCTCCCAACAGACAAGCTTACGGCTGATTTTCATTGCTGGGAACTAAATAAGGTACTTAAATCTAGAGGTAATCTTGTTGGGTTGAAATCCTCACCGTAATCTGGCTTCTGTGTTCAAACCTGCCAAGACCAAAACAATCGGATCTTTATGTAACTTCCTCAGGCTCACATCTGACAAATCAGCTGGCTTTTAAAAATGTGTGAACATTAAAAATAAAAACACTTATCAATAATCTGTTTGTTCAGATACGTTCTTTGTAGATTTCAGGGTTTTTTTTGGGGGGGGGGGTAATATCTGAAAAAGGAGCTTGATTTTTCATTTAAAAAAGCCACACTTGTCAATATTTTTATGTATTTGACACATGAATGAGATTTTGTAGACGTTTTAAACAAATACTGCATCTTTAGGTGGCGAGAACACCATCTCTGTGGTTTTAAAAGCTCAAAACTCCACACTTTCATTTGAACCCCTCCTGCTGCCCTTAGGTCAAACTCAGGCCTGACTGGTTATTTTCAACCAAGGGCAGCAGGGGGGTTAATTAAAGAAGCTCATTGAATAACTAACAAATCATCTTACAACAAGACAAAATAAAATAAAACAGGTTGCCTATAAAGAAACTCCTATAGGATCCACATTAGATGAATACCAAATATTAAAGGATGCAGAAAGATTTTCTTAAAAGCTTTTCTTTTTTTACACATATAGTTACAAATTTTCTCTCAGTTATTACCCACTACAGSTCCATTCAAGTTTTAATGATGACACAATCAGGATAAAATGAACCATATGCTGAAAAAAAAAAACTTTAAAAAACTGCTTCATTGTTGTTTTGGCAATTCAGACAATCAGTTTTTCCTCCCAAATATTTTTTAATATTATAGCTAACCTGAAATCCTGTGATGAATTTACAATTACACCATTTACATGTTAATTTTCCAGCAAAAAGACACAAAAAATGTAAAATCTGTCAATCATAGCAGCTCTATAGCAGTAAAAAAAAAGTCTCGTGAACTTTTAAACATCATAAAACTGATCTTACAGTTTTGATCGATGTGCGAACTCATTTGACTGCAGTGAGTTATTTTCAGACACGTTCAGGAACAACATTAATACAGATTAATGTGACGGCTTAGATAAAATGTCAGGGTGCACTTTAGGGACACGAGCGAACACCGGTGCCGCCTGGGAGAATAAATAGATTCTGACTACTAAGTAATGTTATCTTTTGGATGATCAACAAGGTGTAATCCTTTAAGACACCGTCAGTAAACACATCCAGATAATACAGTTAGATAATTTGATTTTTTAAAAGTGTTTCAAATGCGGACCCTGTTTTTTATCAAACAAGATCAAACATGAAGAATTGCCGCCCCTCAGCATCAGCAAACTACGTTTGTCATGTTTTCWATACAGTAGTACACACATACACATACAAATAAATGTTATTTCCTGGCTTAACAGAGAATGACGGAGTAATATATCATGTAATAGCAGACAGAGAACACAAACAAGTCAGTCAAACCATCTGAGTTCTTTTTTCCACTGACGGTGCTCCGACACAATAATCCTACAAGCTGAGCCTGGAATAGACCACTGACAGAGACGAGCTAAATTTAAACATCTTTATCTAAATATAGAGYCATGTTAACATCTAAGTTATTATTGTTCTTTTAACTTTATGGTTAGGTACAATATGATAGCTAAAAATGATGATTTTCTATTTGGCAGTATTTTATGATAAATTTAGCTAAAGTTTCTAACAAGCATTATTGAACTGCAGAAGAAGAAGTGAAACATTTCAAACAGATACCTAACGAAATCATTTTATTATTACGGCAGCACAGTGGCTCAGTGGTTAGCACTGATGCCTCACAGCAAGAAGGTCCTGGGTTGGATTCCTCTGGAGTTTGCATGTTCTTCTCATGTTGGTGTGTTTTTTTTTTCCCACAGATCAAATACCTGTTTAATATTCACGCCTCCCCTGCGAAAGAGATCTGTGATTTTAGTGAGATTTGTCTGGTTAAATAAAGCTTAATAAACACATTAAGCATGAAACTGTTGCCAGAAATCGTGAAAATAATAGAAATGAGTGAAAKATGATGTTTCATCAACCATCAAAGCAGAAATATTTTTCTAACGGTCCCCACTAGAACCAGAATAGGTGGTTTTGTTTTCCTGGTGGATTTGTTACATTTTATTCAGGAGCCAGTCTTTATGGATATAAGTTAATTAGGTGTAAAAGTCATGGGTGTAATTTGCAGGGAGGGGGGTAACCCTCGCCATAATTTGATCCAGTTAATATAATCCCCTCAAATAAAATGACATTGTTTGCTCTAACACAAACGACCTGGTTTAAGTACAAAGCTACAACTCTTTTATTGCTATTGTATATTCCTATACTTGGGTTGGGTTGACCATTCATTAAAACATCATGGTTACTGACTCACATGAGACCTCAACAACTCTCAAGTGTGAATGTTTAAACTCCAGGTTATRTGTTTAAAACTCTCCTGTTAGATTTGAGAAACACTTTCAGAATAGAGATGAAGAATCTTCATGAACTTCCTGATGCATCTCAGTGATCCAGGTAGAAAAAAAATCAAAAAGAAAAAATAAGAAAGTCCTCTGGATTGTTTCTTCTTTAGTGAAACGTTTCGTCTCTCCTCCAAGAGACTTCTTCAGTCTGATGAGTTTCAGGTGAACTCAGCCTTATAAGCACTGCCTCCACATGGACAAACAGGTTAGTCACATGCAAAATAGGGCCATCGTCTAACAATAGGCTTGATTAGCTCTATAGTTCATAGAGGGTCATGTGCCCCATCACCTGACCCGTGTCGTGTTATGTGACTGTACTGAATGCTAGCGGGGTTTTTTTTAACATCCCCTTGTTTTTGTCCCTCCCTCAATGATGCATTTGACTAACCTGTTTGTCCATGTGGAGGCAGTGCTTATAAGGCTGAGTTTCAACTGAAACTCATCAGACTGAAGAAGTCTCTTGGAGGAGATACGAAACGTTTCACTACAGAAGAACCCATCCAGAGGACCTACTTATTTTTTTCTTTTTGATAATCTTCATGAACCATAGCAACATGTTTAGTTGAGACACTAACTCATGTGTCTGCTGCCACCTGCTGGTGCYTGTCAGCAGCGCAGCTTGGAGTAAACAGGTGGATCATAGTGGTGCAGGTGGGAAACAATAAGAACACACAACTGTTTACAGTTTAGGATGTATTACAATATTTCAGCTCTAATATTAAAATGAATTTAAATATATGTGTAATGATATAATGATTAGTTAGTTACTGAAAAAATTGCGTCATCATGGACAAAGCTACAAACTGGCATCTGGAATTTTAACAAATTACCTAAAAATATGGTATTTTTATCAAACATATTTGTTCTCAATTCTTATATAAAGCATGAACTCCACTGTTAAACGTCTGTATTTTTATCTATGTTTCAGTCAATGTTTAGGATTTCAGTGGGTAAATACCAAACACAGTTCCTTTATTTTAACCTTGCTTTAGTAATTTTTATAATCTTTAATAATTTAATCTTTATAATCCCTTTATTAAGCTGGTGTGAACAGGCTAACACAAATGTAAATGCTAAACATTACTGCTTAACGTTCGTTTTTACGCAAATTGCCTTTTAAAGCAGCAGAGTTTCTCAACACCTCCAGTTTTACTTCAAACCTTTTCCACACGTGAGCAGTTTGAAAGGTTTAAAAAAAATCTGCAGTTGATGCCAAAKCCTAATCTCTTGTTCTAATCTTATTATATGATTGCTCAAATCTCTATTAATTGTGGGCAAGAGAACAAAACCAACACGTGTGTTGGCCAATTTGAAGGTGTGAGTGTTGTTGTAATTTGGGCGTGATTAAATCAAAGGTTTAGAGTTCAGTGGAAATGTTTGTGGACAGGTTGTTAGAACATTTTTTAACTTTATATTGTCCCTATGTGTGTGTGTGTGTGAGAGAATGAATGGTTGTTTGTCTCTATGTTGTCCTGTAATGGACATGTGACCTGACCAAGGTGTACCCCACCCCTCACACTGGGACTGTGGGATATGGGCACCGGTGACCCCCGTGACCCTAAAAGGAAGAAGTGAGTAAAGATATGTATGTTTAGATAGTAAATACCTTACCTGTTGTAGATAGTTCCTTGAACAACATTAAACAAACAATAATGAGCTGATGGCTTGTCTGAGCAGAGGCAAAACCAAAGTGAATTACTGCCGTCTTCAAACAACTTTAACCTCAAAAGTTACAATGAAGCTCATCAAAACGTCCCAGCTCTGCTGTGACTGTTAGCTCATCAAGGAACAACAACAAATATAGGCTTAATAATTATAAATTTGCATCAGTGACATAAACATGTTGCACATAATATAAAATACTATTTAAACTGTGCAAGAAAAAAGAGCTTTCTTTACATTAAAATCTAAATGTACGCAGTGTGAGGACTAGCTTGGCCATGAGCACACACACATGCATGTCTTGGAGCTGTCTGTATCTATTATAGCAGCAGATTATCCATCTGACCTTTCGTTTAAGGTCTTTATGCAGCTTTATTATAGATAGGTCCAGCTGTCTCTGAATGAAAGGATTCATTTTCCTGCAGAGTTGCAGAACATCTCTGTTTTAAAATGTTTCATTTGACTAGAAAGACAGACAGTCGGTGTGCTGAAATAATTAGTAGCTGTCCTAATATAGGATTAATGAGAATATAGCGTTTGTCCAGGTACACCCTGAAGACAAAAACAGCTGAACATGTGAGACAAAACATCTATGAAAAGATGTATTTATTGAATTTAGATTATTTCTGTTTGGATTAAATTGCATCACACAAAATAAATAAATATAGCTATAATTTACTTTCAAATATTCTCTACAATAAAAAGCCTGAGTGGTTTTATTGCGAATGTGAGAACACAGTTTTGGTGCTAAGATCAGATTTTGATGTGAATGAACCGATGAAGTCTGGATCCTTTGGCCCACATAAACTGTACGTTACTACATGGTCAGCTGACGAGTTTAGCAGAGGCAGATCCCTGCTAACCTTCAGCACTATCTGCTGATGACTGAGGGATTGTTTGGATTCAACCCTTTGTCTCAGGGATCTCCCTCTTGCAGTCTGCTCATCCGACTAAGATTGGGGGGGGAGGGGATTATTAATTTTTTACCTGCATTTGAATGTGTCTATCTCTGCTTTCCCCATTTATCCTTGATGCGTTTCTTTCTTTGGGATATAAAGCAGATGGAAAAAGTAACCTGTTTGTAAATTTTTGGGGGTAGAAATTTTGGTTTCTTGCTGRAGAATTTGGCGGGAGCTCCTTCCGAGCTTTGTTGGACCCAGAAGGAGCCACATCACTGAGCTGAAGAGGGAAGAGAAGGAACTATCATGGGTGTGCAAGAAGACGTGGAAAAGTTCCTTAAAGAGAATCCTGAGTTTGCTCGAATGTACTTTGCCAAAAAGCTGAGCCCGTCTTCCATATCCAAGGCGTCAGGACTCCAGGAGAAGATCATCGACTTTGGCCACTTTCAAGAACTAAGTCAGGTAAACGACGTCTTTCCTGTATTTGTTGGTGCACAGATGAAATGACAAGAAATCACTTAAATGGTCACTTCCTCTCTCTAATTCAAGGTTGAAGAAAGCCAAATAATGTATGACCTGATCAAAGACATGCAAGAGAACGTCAACATGGAAAAAGTGGTCTTCAAAATCCTGAAGCGACTCAGCGCCATGATCCACGCTGACCGCTGCAGCCTCTTCATGTACCGGCAGCGGAACGGCATCGGAGAGCTCGCCACCAGGCTCTTCAACGTCCACAAGGACTCAATGCTGGAGGACTGCGTGGTGCCGCCGGACTCCGAGATCGTCTATCCGCTGGACCTGGGAATAGTTGGCAATGTGGCGCTCACTAAGAAGACGGTTAACATCAAAAATGTCAAAGAGGTAAAGGGAAGCAGGGCAGGGAGGGGTAGGGCATAGTTTTTATAATACACCAATGAGAATAAACTGAAGATGAGACATGAATGAGGTGCAGATATTACAGTRTTTCTCAACGGTTTAAAAACATTTTCTGAAGGGGACTGGCAAAATTAAAACAATGTAATTTCTTCTCAAAATGGTATTTTGTCTTCGGATGACACACAAACTATCACATGAACAGACATTTATAACAAAAACTGTTCACAGTGTACATTCCAACCAACAGAGTTGCACATACAGTGGTCTATATACAAAACAACAGAATTATTTACTCTGTAAAGTTACAGGAAAAAATGCTACGACCACATGATCAACCAAAGTGTCTCTGATCTCATCAGAGATTACGATTCTTCCCACCCTCCGCTTCATTCTCTCACTTCTAATCTATAATTCTGATTGYTAAATGTAAATCTGTGACAGATGTTTGCCCATGTGATGAGTGGACGTGCAGAATTAGACAAATATCTTTAGGCTTTTGAAAACTGCCAAAAATATAGAGAATTCTGTAGTGTTTTTTTAAAAAAAGTGTGTTTTAGAACTGAAATTTAAGTGTAAAGCAGGAATTGAGTTTGAAATGGTTAAGAGGGTTGGTGCGTAAGTTGCATGTTGTGGTCATTTTGTCTCAAGTATCAGAAAAAAAATGTGTAAAAACTGAGAAAAACTGTTTGTGATGGTGCAGCTCCTGATATGACCACCAGGTGACGCCACCAGGTTCGCTTCCTGGGCTTGACAGTTTAGTTTTAACCAGTGTGCGTCCTCTTTCATATCATTACAACAATGAATGCAATATATTTAAAAAAATGAACAAAGTTTGAATAAGCTTAAAGTACAATGTTGCAAACAAAATAGTAGACAAACCATCGATATGGCACCAGCCTCGACTAAAATTTTTTATTTCTTCTACAGGATGTGAAAGAGTTCAAGCTTCAAATGACAACTTCTAATGCTGAAAGATGGGAACGATGTTATCTTTCCTAATAATTTGCTATATTTATTTGATCTACAAAAAATGTGAGAGAATGTTAAAGTGCCGGTGTAAAGCCAGGATTTTGGGGAACAAAAGTCAAAGTTTAAAACACTGGTTTGAATGAAGTAAACATTTAGATGTTTTGAAGAGGGGTTTTGTGGAAAGATTTTGACAGCTTTTTAAAGGGTTTTAATTTGGAGAAATAAAAGTTTAACTCTGACCAACCAGGTGAGCTCATGTCTGAACATTGATGTCATCCTAATAGAACTCTAATAGCAAAAACCCAGCTTTTATGTACAGTTAGCTGCAATTAGAAGTATTTTTGACAGTAATTTCCTAATATTTCCTGATGGAATAATTGGTAATGTAAAACTCAGTTTAAAGATTTAATTAATAGCATTTGTAATAATTATTAACTAAAAATTAAGTTGGGAGTTTAGTGATCTAATTTCATTTTGGTTTCAGCCTGAATAATCAGTTGCTTATCAGCAGGTAAGATACTAACTGCTCATAAACTTTCAACAGAACATCACTTCAAAAAACCCGACCTTTCACCTTAAAGGTGCAGATTTGTCCACCTGAGCTAAGGTTTTGAATCTTTTAGCTTCATGCTCTGAATTCACCTGCATGTTTTCATGGATCACAGATATAACCAACCCATTCTCACTCCGAGTCGGGAGTGAGAATGTGTAGATACAACACAAACCAGTAAGAGAAGAGTTAGCCCCTCGAAGCTGATGTATAGTTGACCAAGCGTGGGTGAAAATCCCCTTGTCAGACTTAATCCATTTATTTTCAGATCCCATCAGCCTCTGTTGTAGCTGTGGATTAGACGCCCCTGGCRTTTAGTCAGCAGGAATCTAAAACAGATGAAAACTAGTTTGCTTCACTTTCATTTAACTTGTTCACAATATGACAAGTTTGTTWTCTATCTAATTTTATGTCCTAAAACCTAAAGCTGGTTTCCAAATAAAATCTGCTATACTGTAGAGAGTTATAATTATGGAGCTGGTGCAAACAATTACCTGCTGCACAAAACGCTACATAGTGTTGTCTTTTTTTGTGCACAACKGTAAAATGAWTTCTTCTTATGARCGTTTGTCTTTTTTTTTTAGAGCCAGCACTTTAGTTCATTTGTAGATGAACTTACAGAATACCAGACCAGGAACGTTCTGGCTACACCTATCCTCAACGGCAAAGACATGGTGGCAGTGATCATGGCTCTGAACAAAACCACAGGACCACATTTCACTGCAGAGGATGAAGATGTGAGTCACGAGTACACAATGCGCAGCACTGAGAGTTTTCATAAACACATTGGAAGGTGGTATCTCCCTTTGCCTTAAAGACTAACGTGACTTTGTCTCATAACAGATTTATAATGTGATATTTAGATTATCAAAACAAAATATGCTGTTTGACACCTCAGCAAGAGGGAAATTCTCTTTTTAGCAGAGTACAATACGTAGGCCAGACCGAAGTCACCCGAGGGCCACCAGCTGAATAGCTCTGATTTATGCTATATYATCAGAGATTTGGTTGTGACGCGTATTTTTATTCTTGTTTGTGTTTTCAGCTTTTCTTAAAATATCTAAAAATTGCCAGTCTGAACCTAAAGATCTTCCACTTGAGTTACCTTCACAACTGTGAGACACGTAAAGGACAGGTATCAGATTTGAAGTCTTGGCTTACCAAAAATATGGCCTTCCTGTTTCTGGACCATGAGATGATGTTGATGATGGTGTTTCCTAGCTGCTGCTGTGGTCTGCTAACAAGGTTTTTGAAGAGCTGACGGACATTGAGCGACAGTTTCACAAAGCCTTGTATACGGTCCGAGCCTACCTCAACTGTGACCGCTACTCTGTGGGTTTACTAGACATGACAAAAGAAAAGGTAGAGCGCCTTTTCAAATATTCTCTAGCCTTAGCTTGAGCTGTGGATTCATTACCATCAAACTAATGACTTGTCTGCTTCTCATTTCAGGAGTTCTTTGACATCTGGCCTGTTTTGATGGGAGAGCAGGCACCTTACTCTGGCCCTGTAACTCCTGACGGCAGGGTTTGTTTTCTGTTTATTTCTTTGGCATTATTATTATTATTATTATTATTATTATTATTATACATTCTCTGTTTTGTAATATATTCATAATGAACCTTCCACTAGATGTATTTTAATGAAACTCTCAGAAAGGAAAATTTTGGATGTACATCAAAACTTTTGGCACGTAAGATGTTAGGCAATGGTCACCACAGCTAATTTCAAATGGCTTTATTGTATTTTATTTTTTATTATTTTTATTTTTTTTCAGCTGTCTAAAGAAATATTGAGCTGAAATGTTGTGACCCTGGTTAAGGATGATTAAATACTAGTCACAACAGTCATTCAGACATACAAAGCTAAACACCAGTGTAAAAATAGCCGAAAACAATCTTTACCAAATTCTAATTGCTCATCAGAAATTCAAGATGGCCACCACAGCTAACATTAAAAGATAATTCCGCCATTTCAAGACTAATTGAGATTAAATCTGTTGTGGAGTAGCTAAAAATGATCACATGCCAAATGCCAATGCTAATCCCAAATTAATCTAACCACTAATGCTAATAYTAATTCTACAAAGAGCTATAATTCAGCCTTTTTAATCATAAACAGCTGAAAATGTATACTGTAGTACCAGAGAACAAACCAACAAAATCTAAATGCAATAAATCTCCATCCACTTTCCAGTTAATTGGGGGTGGATCCTGGGGTGGCCAATCAGGTACCAGATGTGGCACTTGCCACCCCCACTGGCTCCGCCCCTGGACATGCATTCCTGCACAGAATGCTGCTTCAAGTTTTAAACGCTCTCTAATCTCTAGTTTCTTTCTTCCTGAAGGAGGTAATTTTTTACAAAGTGATTGACTACATCTTGCATGGAAAAGAAGACATCAAAGTAATACCGTGAGCAAAATTATTTTCCTTTTTGCATTAACCTTCGCAGGAGGATTTATTGATTTATTCGAGATGTAAAATTGGACCATTGTCAGTTATAGTGTTTTAACTAATTCACGAGTGATCAGACGACGCTTCAGATGTTGTGTTCATATTTGCTAACTGGCTTTTTGCTGTTTTGTCACAGAAACCCACCTGCAGATCATTGGGCCTTGAGCAGCGGCCTGCCCACTTATGTGGCTGAGAGCGGTTTTGTAAGTTTTCTTTTATTTCTTTGAGAACAGCTGCAGAATCATTTTCAGCTGCATCAGTTTGAGATCTGATCCTTCTGCTCCTCAGATTTGTAACATTATGAACGCAGCTGCAGATGAGACGTTTCACTTTCAGGTGAGAGGCTGATGAAGAAGCTCAGCAACCTAAAGATCCTGAAGGGACTTGCAGCATAAATTATGTTGGTATTTTTTGGCCGCAGACGGAGGCGCTGGACGACAGCGGCTGGACCATAAAAAATGTTCTGTCACTCCCAATTGTCAACAAGAAAGAAGAAATAGTTGGTGTGGCAACGTTTTACAACAGGAAAGATGGAAAACCTTTTGATGATCATGACGAGCARCTCATGGAGGTAATGTTAAGAGATGTTCCAACACTTTTCTGGGGTCGGAACAAACGATAGAGCCGCTCATAGGTTTTTACAGATTAACTGTAGAACACGTGAATAATCTTGCCCTAATAWATTTTCAGAAGTAGGTGTATGATGTTTATTTCTGGGATTCTCAGGCTTTGACTCAGTTCCTGGGATGGTCAGCTCTGAACACGGACACGTACGACAAGATGAACAAGCTGGAGAACCGGAAAGACATCGCTCAAAACATGGTTCTCTATCACGTCAAATGTCGGGAYGATGAGATTCAGAATATTCTGGTCYGTACCGTCCATCGAAACACAGGAAACACATATTAGCCCTGTTGAAAGAGTCAGAATTTCTCCAATAATGTTTTCACAGAGCAGCCAATTGCTATTTCTGATTTGTTCTTACTTTTCGGTAAGTTTTAATGCAACTTCAGGGTTTCTTCCATTGCTTGTAGAACACAAGAGATGTCTATGACTGTGAACCCCAAGAGTGTGAAGAGGAGGAGCTTCTCGATATTCTGGTATTGCCTAAACTTAGCCTACTGTATGGGTTTCTGAGAAAAAAAAACTTTTTGTTTTAGAAAAACTCTAAGTTCCAATTGTCCACATTAGTATCATGTAGCTACACAGTCTGTTCTTTATAAATCTTATTCACGTTTTGTTTTCTGCACCCATCATTCAGAAAAAAGACCTGCCTCCACTGATCAAGAAATTCGAGATCTACGAGTTCCGCTTTTCAGATTTCAACTGCACAGAGATGGAGCTGGTGAAGTGCGGGATCCAGATGTACTACGAAGTCGGCGTGGTCAAGAAGTTCCAGATCCCTCAGGAGGTAACGCTGACACACGTTTGCAACATTTCTTTCYAACAGCGCGCACATCTAGTCAAGGAAATGAATTCTGTTTCTCTCCAAGGTGCTGGTTCGTTTTATGTACTCGATCAGTAAAGGCTACAGAAGAATCACTTACCACAACTGGCGTCACGGGTTCAACGTGGGACAGACCATGTTCACACTACTAACAGTACGAGTCCAGTCATTGGGATCTCTTCAAAACCTGTAGATTTGAATTAGTTTTATGTTTCAGGTTCTGTTCAAAAGCTCAACAGAAACATAGTTATAGATTTTTCAACTGTATGTATTTCTTTATTTGTGTGGCTTTATGTAATCAGACAGGACATCTAAAGAGATACTACACTGACCTGGAGGTGATGGCTATGATTACTGCTGGTTTCCTGCATGATATTGACCACAGGGGGACAAACAACTTGTACCAGGTCAAGTAAGTGGAAACACTTCTGTATTTCACACTCTAATAGATTGTATTTTTAAACCAAAGCTTAGTATGGTTGAAGAAATAATATAGTAGAGCTGAAACAAAATCCAAATCCTAAGTACTACCCCACTAAATGTTTTAATAAAACATTTTTAACAGATCCAAAGTTTTAAGTCAGCCATTAATTTTTTTTCCTCAAAAGCAGCACTGCTTTTTGTACAAAACTGGTGATTTGATTTTTAACAGTTTCAAATCTTGAGTAACTCAAAAAACCATTCACTGATTATCTCTATGTTTTACACCAGTGTTCTGTAGTCTTTAAGCTTAATGCTCCAGTATGTTTGTATTCTACATCTCAAACAGGCAACCCACCAGTTACAGCTCAAACCCCTACCTCCTGACGTCACTGTCACAGCTAGATGAAARTCTTGGGGTTGGACCGACTGATATTTGAGGACTTTGTTTACTCCAACAGGTCTGGTAACCCTCTGGCCAAGTTGCACGGTTCCTCCATCCTGGAACGACACCATCTAGAGTTTGGAAAGTTCCTTCTGGCTGATGAGGTAAAGACTGGAGCTTTATCTACAACAAAAATTCATCCAACATTGTCCATGACTTTACAGTCATTACAAATGGCTTGCCTACCACTTCCCCCTTCTACCTGCAGTCACTGAACATCTACCAGAACCTCAACAGGAGGCAGGTAGATCATGTGATTCATCTCACGGACATTGCCATCATTGCTACTGATCTGGCTCTTTATTTCAAGTCAGTGTGGTTTCTCTTTTTCTTTCCATGTTTGTTCATGTTTTAGCCTCTTTCTTTGTATGAAGAGAAAAAAATTAAACTTTTTTTATTTCTACTTGTGCCGTCTCAGAAAGAGAACCATGTTCCAGAAAATTGTGGACCTTCGACATACATATGAAGATGAGAAAAAATGGGTGGACTTCATGTCCTTAGAAACAACCAGAAAAGAGATTGTCATGTGAGTATGAACGGCTCAGTGTTTTGATCCTGTTCTGATCTCTGACTCTAGAACTTCTTCATCGTTGCAGGGCCATGATGATGACGGCGTGTGACTTGTCTGCTATCACAAAGCCCTGGGAAGTGCAGAGCAAGGTGAGGCACAGAGAAAAAGAAGAACTATTATATTAAAACATAAGGTTTGCAGAATGGTACTGGGTTTATAAAGGTGGTTCTGCATGGATTGTTGTGTCTTCCAGGTTGCCTTGTCTGTGGCTGCAGAGTTTTGGGAGCAGGGTGATTTGGAAAAGACAGTACTGGAACAACAACCCATTGTAAGTTAGCAAGTTAAAACAAATTGTTCTTAAGGTAGAACACACATTGTGGCAACTTTGGACCAACAAACTCGTTGTGTACATTTCTAATCAGATATGATAAATGACATCAAAGTCTTTCAGAGGGACAGTGAAGCTATGAGACTAATTTATTGGATTCACAAATGATGACAAATCATGATTTATTTCTGTCTCTTTCACCAGCCTATGATGGATAGAACCAAAGCAGCAGAGCTTCCTAAGCTACAGTGTGGTTTTATCGACTTTGTCTGCATGTTCGTCTACAAGGTAATATAGTGTTACACTTTAATGCACAACCAAAGTGATCTTCTGTAGTCTTTATGGTTTTCCAGTTTCCCAATTTCTGTGCAAAATGTTGTGCTTTGAAAGAACCAATACATGTTTTTTTAACTTCGTCATTGATTTTTCAAATCTTTAAAGGAGTTTTCTCGCTTCCATCCACAAATCCAACCTATGCTGGAYGGTATTATTAACAACAGGAAGGAGTGGAATGCTAAAAAAGAGGAGTACGAGGCTAAGCTGAAAGCCATAGAGGACGCGAAGGCTGCTAAAGAAGCGGCAGGACAAGGCAAAGGTATGGTGCTCCTTTAAAATAATCACTTTTTAACAACATTTGCAGACAATACCTGGTAAACTTCACATATTATCCTTGTATTACTCTTGTATTAGTAAGATAAAGTTGAAGTTATCCTTCATTATGTGATCCCGATTGGCATGATGACAATTTAGGCTTTATTGACTATGTCTATGTTTTGAGGTGAGAAACCTGTAATCARCTGTAAGGCATGGAGATGGTAGAATTACACTGCCTGGCCAAAAAAATAAAAGTCGCCACCTGGATATAACTAAGGTCTRTGATGTGGGGTCRCTGCAGTMGGTCAGGTCCAGGTTCAGCAACAGTCTGTGCTCAAAGAATGAGGTCAGCTGACTACCTGAATATACTGAATGACCAGGTTATTCCATTGTTTCTTCCCTGATGATACGGGAATATTCCAAGATGACAATGCTGGATTCATGRGGCTGGAAWTGTGAAAGAGTGGTTCARGGAGCACGAGACATCATTTTCACACATGGAYTGGCTCCACAGAGTCCATKRWRAWYYTTKGGATGTGCTGGAGAAGGCTTTGTGCAGCAGTCAGACTCTACCATCATTAATGCAAGATCTTGGTGAAAAATGAATGCAACACTGGATGGAAATAAATCTTGTGACATTGCAGAAGCTTATCCAAACAATGCCACAATGAATACGTGCTAAAGGCAGTCCAACAAAATATTAGTGTGACATTTTTTTGGTGGCAAYTTTTTTTTTGGCCAGGAAGTATAACCTGGGACTGTTTTAAAGAAATTTAAAGTCAGGTTGTAAAGGAATGGATTTGTTAAAATAAACTAAAATGATAAACAGCAATTGTGTTTCAAGAGGAATACAATCCTAAAACAAATCAGTGCAATTTGTGGAGCATTTAATCAACATTGACAGTATCCCTAGAAAAGATCTTCCAAAGTCTTGACCTGAGTCTTTAAGAAAAAAAAAAAAACCCAAGAACTATGCTTTGGAAACGAACTCATTTTTTAAAAGTTTTACCAGTTTCTTCCAAAATCAGAGGTTAAACAGCAAATAGTTCATAAATGTGTTGATTTATATCAAATCATTTATATCCAAAGAACTTATGGAAATATGAAACAAATATAAAGTATTTTTATTGCCACTGTAAATATTATTAGTTTGATAATGTGGGTTCAAACTGAGTCATWTATTTAATTTCTAATTTGTCCAACAGCTGCTGCAAACAACCCCGGTGGTGGAGGCTCCAAGACCTGCTCTGTGTGCTAATGGAGCAAAGACTTGTAAGCTACAAAGAAGCGGGTGCTCCACGTGGAGGGACTGAACAGTCTGAGAATCACAGTCAGAACAAGACTTACCGTCAAATATTTAAATATCCGAAATATGGACTACGGGTTAATCCAGAGCCTGAAAAACAATAAAAGCTACAATAAAAAATGAAGGAGTTGTTCATCAAAAAGAAAATTCATCTTTTTTAATCAAAAGAAGTTGAGACTAAATATTGGTTTAATTAAAGGAAGATAAAGATTCATTCTTSTGTTTTAGATTTTTCTTATGTTTAAATATCCTTGTCTAGAAAACTGATACATTATGTATGATCTGTTTTTATACTCAAGAATGTTTCTTAAATGTACAGAAACTCACAAGTTATTGTATATTTTCAGTTTTCATCATTTTTTCCATTAGTTTTTTAATCCAACATTACAAACTGTATATTTATTGTGTGGTTAATTTTACTTCAGGTAAACATTTTCATAAATATAGCATAAATTGAAGATTCGTTTTAGATTCCAATTTAATGTAATTCTTTATTTTATGTTCATTTCCTTCCAGTCAATTTCTATTTACGAATGAAAGTTTATTTATCTTCATTTCAAATGACTACATTTAGATTTTTATGCTAGTCAACAAGGCAGTTTATAAAAAAAACCTATTATGTGCAACAAAAGTATACAAACATTTTGTAAAATCTGTAGAAGCTTTTTCTGATGCCTTCATGATCTGAAATAAGAACATGAGAGATGGACTTTAAACTGTTTGAACAGCAGGACTGACATGTTTACTAAAAATGAACGAGCCATGCTCCAGTAACATCCTCTGCATTAGACTCAGGGGTCTGCAAATGAATCATAACCACTTGTGCGGGGTCCAAGGAAACCCCCAAAGAATGTAAACTCTACAGAGGATCCAGTGGAAGACCTGCACCCAGGACTGTGGTGCTGTCAGGCAGCAGCACTAACCACATCCAGCTGCTCTGTTAACAATCTGAGGACACAAAGCTGTTTCACACAACATAACTCAGCTTTGTGTAATGACTTGTACATACTGCCTCTATTCTTGTAAATATGAAAAGTATATATATTTTCACGTTGAACTAGAGACACTTTTTTGAATTTGGATACATTTGCAAAAAAGTTATCTAAGCTTAGAGCTTATTATGCTAAATAAGAGTCCACATATGCATGTACAATGAAGTGTGGGTGACTCATAGATGACATTCTAATATTATATAAATATATGCACACATAACATTTTTAAATAGTTCATGCTGTTTACTTTCAGTATGTCAAAGCTTATGTGCGCTAAGTGTACAGTGTTGAGCCAAATAAAGCAAATGTATTTTTATGTTTTTACTGAGTGAATTCATTCCTAACATTTTGAACTCTGCCAGGATTTATCTTTAATACTTTGTACACAAATAGTGACATATAACGAGTTTTTAGTGGTTGCCAATCGCAACATGAAATGTGCCTCGACCTTATCTGAACTCTCTCAGTTCTGCGGTTTAGCAGCTGGTGCTGTGCTGTGGTGTTCATATGAAGGTTAAAATATTACACAACGCTGGAGTATAACTTCTGTCCACACTGCAGTTTTACTACTGGTCCCTGACCCTAATCCTGGGATTACTGCTAAACCTGGCTGGGATTACAACAATACTCCCCCCCGTCCAAGCTCATCTTACACTGAAGGACAGGTGCACTACCTGTCCTCGGAACAAGAAGTGCCAGTGTTTCCTTTTTTTTTTTAAACTATTTATATTACAGACAGAACTAATGAATGAAATTCTGATTTCTATGGGCATGTTTATTTGACAATAAATTATTTTCAGGAGATCATTTTAAGATACAAAACATTACCACATTACGGTTTTAAAATCACAAAAAAAAAAAGTTTTGTTTGAGCTTGAAATACTTCATCGTTGGTCCATAAACAGCTCATTTGAGAATGGTGTCAGAACCTGTCAAAAAGAGAAGAAAATATTTGTTTKTTTTTTYTGTTTTTTTTTTTGGATGAACTGCTAAAGTCACAACAAACCAAAAAGTTTGAATTGGGAAAACATACATTTTTAATTAAACTGATTTTATCTGTATTGTCAGTTGTTTATTTTAAAAAAGAATATATACTTTTCATTTGATAGTCGTATTTTTGTCTGTTTACCTTGTTAGGCACTTTGAGTACTTTGTTTTTAAAAATATCTGAGACGAAATGCGCGAGAGAGAGAGAGAGAGAGAGAGAGAGAGAGAGAGAGAGAGAGAGAGAGAGAGAGCAATAGGATGATGTTACCTTCTGACAGTCGATTATAAATGCTCTCCTGCTGCTCTCGAATCATCTTCTCCGCTTCTTCATTCCTCCTTTCCTCCTCAGCAATGGGCTTCAGGTAATCTTGAGAAGGAAAAAAATAAAAACAATAAAYCTAATACAACCTGTGTACGACTGACTCAGAGCACTGGCAGAATAAAGCGAAGTGCACAGGTGAACTCACCAAACCTCTGTTTCCCATAGAGCACACCGAGCAGCAGAGCAGACCATCTGGCTGTCTGCAATCAAAGACATCACATTTATTAGTCCACCAAACAATTATTTAACCAACTGTAAAGGAGTTAGGCTCATTGCTTTTCTTTTTTTAAATAAGTTGTTTTGCTTCCTTATGAATAAATGCAACATAGATTTTTTTTTGTTCACAACATGCAATCACCAAAATAATTCTCATGAAAGCTATTTTTGTTTCATGAAGCCGATTTCTATTCACAAAACACATCATTCTAACCTTTATAATCTGTTCACCAATAAAGTAAAACAAGAGAAAAATGTTTTCAGCAGCTTTAGCATAAATTAGCTACAATTATTAGCTGCAACTTATTGCACAGATATTTCTTAACAAGCTAAAGTTCCATTGCGTTCCCTATCTGGATTTATAAATATCCTAAATGTTAGGGCTTTGTATCAGAAAGACGAGAGGAAAAGCCTTGAAGCTGGTTCCTGTTACACGAGCCAGCCTGCTAAAAAGAAAGAAAGAAAAAAAAAACAAAAAAACAATAACATTTAATTCATGAACGGACACGTCATAGAAAGGAAGCTAGTGTTGTCAGAAGTTATATTTTATTTACATGTCAAAAGGTTATGACTCTGATGCTCATTAATTTGCGGCTTTACCTTAATTAAGGGCGACACTGCAACCGGAAGAACCATGATGGATTGAGTTAGATCAAAACTTCCGGTTGAACCGGAAATACCTTTTCGCAATAAAACATTCCTGACAGTTATGTGTATATACACGATTGATTATTGCAATTTTTCTGTTTTTAAACAGCAAAAAGAATCGAGGCAGACTATATTATATATACAATGGAATCATATATTAAATACACTTCATTAACAAAATATTTACAAACTTGCTTTACTTATTTTGTTTCCATGTTGTAAGTTTTTTGGCAAATGGAAACAACTCCAATAAAGTGTTTGTTTTCCTACCCTTCAAGTTTATTTTATTTATTACAAGGCTCTGTAAAGAATTGCTATGTTTAATAGAAATGTAGAAAAATAGTCCCATTTTCTTTATTTGCATGAACCTTTGTAACACACCAAGAAGAAATATTTTCTTTAGACAAATAATCAGATTGGATAGTGTGACAGAGAACCATGTTAGCCTAATTTTAACCCACAGATCTGTTTTAAAATTCTCCTTCTCTGATCCAGAGATGTTCATCTCAATTCAGTCCACACACATCAAACCTTTTTATTTTGAATCTGAAGGTTTTCACAGAGAGGTTCATATTATTCAAAATTTGGATCATTTGGGTAAAACTCGAGTTTTTATTCTCAGTTTACACAATTAGCTTTATAAACAATTGTGTAAAACAGTTACTGTTGATTTTTTTTTTTTTTACAATCGGAACTTTGAATCTTGATTTAATGACAAGCCTTTATGCCACCATGTATTAAATATATTTGTTGAGCAGACTGTAGACAGTTTGCCAGAAGACTTCATCCAAATATGCAGGATTGGTCAATAATGTAGTTTCTTATGGCCACCACTAGATGATACTGAGTCCCAGTGGCTGAAATTTTTTATTAATAATGGAACTAAATCACAAGTTCAAGATAATTTTTATCAAATACTGTGCTGTTTAACATTAACATTCCTAATTGTTCAGTTCATTCAGTCAATTCAAAAATAATATAAACGTAACTTATATGAAGAGATGTCTATCCCAATTAAATAAAAAAAACTACATCTTGTTTTCAAAATTTGGTTTAACTTTTATTATAATGAGATGAACCAAAGATTGCCAAAGTTGTCAAAATGTTGCATAATGATATCAAAACTATGTAAAAACATTTATTTTATTCATGTTTTTCTTGCGTCACAGCTGAGACCTGATCCCTTTAACGAGTTTTGGTCTGAATAACTAAATGGATCCATCCTGYCTTGTATCAACGGTTCAGGCTGCTGGTGGTGGTGCAACGGTGTGGGGGATATTTTCCTGACACACTTTGGGCTCATTTCCAAATGAGCATCGTGTCAGCGCCACAGCCTACCTGAGTATTGTTGCTGACCATGCCCATCCCTTTATGACCACAGTGTACCATCTTCTGATGGCTACTTCCTGCAGGATAATGCTCCATGTCATAAAGTGAATCATCTCAGACTGGTTTCTTGAACACAACAATGAGTTCACTGTACTCAAATGGCCTCCACAGTCACCAGATCTCAGTCCAATAGAGCAGTGTTTCCCAAAGTTGGGGTCGGGACCCAAAGTGGGGTCCCGAAACATCAAAGTGGGGTCCTGAAAAG